TTCCCCAAGACGGTTCCCCAAGTGCAGTTTTCTGCCCGTGGTCAGGCTGAGCAAGGGTTCTTGCAGAGCTCAACTGCAGAAGTTCCCTGTTGAACGAAGCCCAAACACGTCTCTGGGGCAGAGCCCCGGCAAGTGATCTTGCTCCCATGGAGGTCTTTGCCCCCACAGCCGAGCTGACCGGTGATGGCAAACGGGGAGAAGACGGGAGAGTTTCGCCAAACGTATTGGCAGATTTGGATTTCATGAAAAGAACTTTTGAGAAGCTATTTATTCCTTGGCAATGCAGAAGGAGTTACAGGAATAAACACAGATCAATTAATTTAGGAACAGCATCTAAGCGTTCATAATAAATCACGCCAGGAATCCTTCACACCCGAAGGATGCTGTCTCTCTGAACAAATGCCGGGTTGAACGTGCGGTTTGGAGTAGGGATGTGAGAGTGTGTGTATGTGTGTACGTATATATTCACTTGTACAGAAATGTTAAATCCTCAAGAGTAAGTATCTTCAGTTGGTGAAAATCAATTTATTTTTTCATACAGGCTGGAATTGAAAATCTTAAGCCTGAAAGTTACTTTCTTGCCAATTTCACTGATAAAAAAGCATATACGTCTTGGCAAGATGCCTTGTACCGGCTCCTCTAAACTATTCCATTAATTTATCTGGGTGACTGCTCTTGAAGCATTGGTTATTAAAGGCAGCTTCTGAGCTGTGACTCCAAAGAATGAATTCAGAAGCGTTCCTGGTGTCGCTGCAGCGGCTGCATTCAGAGGGGCTGGCTCTCAGCTCTTCATACGTGCATCTCATTTAGCACCAACACAGCCTTCATAGAGATGCAGACACAGCACACCAGCCTCCCCATGTTGTTTATCCCGACCAAAACGAGGAGAAGCTCCACGCCCATAAGTAGGAGAGAGACTCAGTCCCCCTGTGAGAACCGTGACGGCGCTGATCAGCAGCATTAAACAACCGCCTCTGTTTATTAGCAATGATCTCCATCACTGCTAACGCTTGGAGTTCCTGACTCGGGAACTTCTCTGCCGGGAAGCAGTGGGTGTCAGGCCATTTGTCTTAATGCTCAGAGCAACCAAGCAGTTCCTCTTCATCCACCTTTGGCAGCAAAGCAGCGCTGTCGCTGAGGGGCACGTGGAGACCCTACGGAGGACGCAGGGGCGCGGGAGGGTCTCTGCCTGCCACCTACTCCAATTTCTTTTGCAAACCCGTAAAAGGAAATGGTGATTCCACAGAGAAGAAATTCACACCGAGCTGCAGCACAGCGAGCATCACATCAGGCCAGTAACTAACCCCAGGAAGGACTTTTTAAGGTAAATTACTAAAGCTGTAAAATCAGAGATCCAGCAAAACAAAATGTACACACACCCACACACGAGTGCAGCAAAATAAGCACAGTTTGTATGGATTCTTTACTGACTATTAACTTGGTGGGTTTGCTTATTTATGTGGTACGTCCTCAGGTAATGCTATCAAATTCCCATAAAGGAGCGACAGCCTCTGCAGCATGGCTTAAGTGTTCCGAGAGGAGGAAGGGGAAGAAGGAACAACTTTTCTCCTAATAGGAAAAATGTTTAGTGGTCAAAGCTCTCCAGGACTGGGCGTGAGCTGGAGTGCTGAACGCTCCTCACCAGGGCTGCTCCTGCAATTTTTGATCGATGGCTGCTCTCACAATGACTGACAATCGCTTCTAAATTGGACTTTTAATAAATAGCCCAGTCTATCAACCCGCAAGTGCCGTGCTGGGAATTACAGTCAGTGAATTCTCACTCGGAAAAGGAATGTTCTTGTCTCAGTCAGCCAAGATAAGGTGCAAGCGGGCGGTGCTGGCCCTGGTCTGAGGCAGCAGAGAGGGTGCTCCCCCGCCGTGGGGACCCCCACCCTGGACACCCAGAGCAGCCCAGCCTGAGCTGGGAAAGCTGGGGTCCTCCCAGCATTTCAAAACACAATTAAGTCTTTCAGCTGGTCAGAAGCTGTGATTTAAGAAGAGAAAAGTGGTTTTTTTCTCTTCCAGGGAGCCCTGTCTCATGTAATTTAAGTTGCCTGAAGAGCTACAATGCCTCATGCAAGTCCTATTAGCTTCACTAAATGCAGCCTATTGATTTTTTGCCAGTTTATTTTGCTCTATGCTTTAAACTGGGAGAACACTGATGTTGTTTAAGAGCTCTGTGTCAACACCCCAGGAGCATTAAATGCAGGAAGAGACGGAGAGAAAGGAAGAGCCAGTGAACCCAGAGGCCTCTGATGTGAACTATATAAATGTTAAACAAGTCCTTATCAGCACGCCGAGTCTGCTGTTCATTTCAATTACCCATTGTAATGCACAGATATTTAATAATCCTTTTGGAGGCTCCATTTCTTGCTGCTCTTTGAGGTTTGATAGATGCCACAAATCTACCTTACGGGCGCTGGTCCAGATTTTCGAGTGGGGGAGATTATCCTGCCTCTCGAATGAAGTTTGCTCTGGCACAGCCACTGCCGCGCGTTCATCAGGAGGATTACGACAAGCACGAGCTTTAACTGGAGAAATGAGGCCGAGGAGATTTCAGCTGGGAGAAGGAGTCCACGGGGTTAAAGCCAGAGGAACAGCCTCTGCCACTGCTATGCTAACCAACTTTTTGGGGTGTTAAGCTTTCCTTTAACTTTTGTTAAACATACTGAAAAAATAGTAGGTGAGCAGGCAAAGGATTTGAAACGTAAAGCGCTATGAGGTACTTCTTTTCTTAACCAATTTACCCTTATTTATAGTGCTTTTATCAGAAGAACCTATGCTGGAGCATTTTCAACATTACTGAAAAATTGAGAGCGAGATGTGATAGCAGCAGTCGGGATGGGCTGGAGCTCCATCTCCCGCTTTCTTACCGAAGGGGGAGACCTGAAACAAAGGGGGAGACCTGAAACGGAGATAAATGACAGCTTAACCCCGGGGTGGCAAAACCCAAAGTGCAGCAGCGCCTGCGTGCAGCTGCAGGTGAGCAGCTCCCCCTGCTCAAGGCAAAGCTCAAAGACCGATCAGCCCCTCAACTTATCAGCCAGCTCCAGGCTCTACTCTTCTAAGCAGTGCTGTGGAGGAGGAGGTTTTGGCTGACTAAGCTGCCTCTTTTAAAATGAGAAGGCAAAAAGAGATCTGGGGAAAACAAGAAATTAGGCAGAAAAGAAGAATGGCACATAAAGGGGCAGGCGGCAGCACGAACACAAGCCTCCATATCCAGGTGCTTTTCCGGAGCTCAGCTGGACGCACAGAGTGGGTTTGATGAGAGTTAAACTCACCCACGGGAACACCGGCACCAGCAAAGGGGTGCTTGAAGAGAAAGCTGATGTGCCTTTCCTGCACTAAAGCCAGCCACGTCTTTTGTGACAACCTACATGGAGACAATTCAGAAAGTGGTTGTAGATAAATGGTGTATTTCAGATGCTATGGAAAGACATAAAACAACCGTGTTTCTTCTCACCCAACACATTTTCTAGAAGAAAAAAACATGAATAGTAAGCTAGAAAACATATTCCTCCTTTTTAACAGAATGCCTGCTGATAGTGAAAGTATGTCCATGTTTATTTTTAGCCATAAGACAATCTTATTGAACATTTCTATGCCTCTGCTTACGTGGATACATTAAATGTGTTTGGCAGTTGCATGTATCTCAGAGGAGACTTGTTTCCTTGCGATGCTTGAGGAAAAACAAAAACATTATGGAGTGTGTGCAAAAGAGGAAAAAGCGTGCCTTCTGAAACGTTCTTTGTCTTCTCTCGCTGTGCAGAAACGTTACAGGACAAACAAAATTCTGGTTAGGAACCCAACACATGGAAAGAGCAGGGCTGGTCGCCTGTCACACGAGCGAGTTCTGCCGGCAGCGAGGCAGGGGCTCGCCGTCCCTCACCGGAGGGAAGTTGCAGCTCGGTTCCACCCGCAGCATCGGGGCTCTGGAGCAGAGACCCTGCCAAGCGTCTGCACAACAGGACTTGAGCCCAAACCTTTGGCTCTTGCTACAGTGACCTGAGGCCAACCCACACCAGGCAGGAAACGTGCTCAGATACTTCAGACAGGGTCAACTTAGTAGTAGTTCCATGGTGTGATCTACTCTCAAACTGGTATTACTGTTATTTACTGAAAAGACACCACGTTTCATCAAACAGAATCCTAATTCTTATTTTGGGGGCGGGGGGGGTCTCATTTTTCCAGAAATCAAAAATTTCCACATTTGAGAAGATGTGGGCCTTCATGAGCAGCAAACCCACAGCACTTGTCAAAAACAACGAGGAAGGAATCCAGCGAACCCTCACAGCAGATTACGCCCTGCTGATGGAGTCGACCACCATCGAGTACATCACGCAGAGGAACTGCAACCTGACGCAGATCGGGGGGCTCATCGACTCCAAAGGCTACGGGATTGGGACTCCCATGGGTAAGTGACAGCGGTGGGGCTGCTGTGGGTACCCCGCAAATACAATGGATGGGATTAAGATAATCCACTCCCAACAGCAAATTTCCAAACACCAATGCCAGCACCATCTGCCTCTTGAGGAGTCTCCTCTGGAGACATTCCTTCTCTGGACACGTTCCCGTGTGACCTGCTCTGGGTGACCCTGCTCTGGCAGGGGGTTGGACTGGATGATCTTTCAAAGTCCCTTCCAACCCCCAACGTTCTGTGGTTCTGTGAGGTCTGATCAGCCCTGCTTAACGCAGAGGCATTCTCTGCTGCGAGTGATTTTTGTCCTGCTCTCCCTCAGTGTGTAATGGTGTTTTCCCCCTCCCCAGGGTCGCCGTACAGGGACAAGATCACCATTGCCATCCTCCAGCTGCAGGAGGAGGACAAGCTCCACGTCATGAAGGAGAAGTGGTGGCGAGGGAACGGCTGCCCTGAGGATGAGAACAAGGAGGCCAGCGCTCTGGGCATCCAAAACATCGGGGGCATTTTCATCGTTTTGGCGGCAGGCTTGGTGCTGTCTGTCTTCGTGGCCATGGTGGAGTTCATCTACAAGCTGCGTAAAACGGCGGAGCGTGAGCAGGTACTGATTTCCTCCATTTCCCCGCAGCAGCCCTAGCCCAGCCATT